ATTGATTGGCTGCTGGTGTTCTGTGAGAATATGGAAGAATGAGAGAGTAAAGACTGTGGTTGAAACGCGTTCCCTCCTGTTTGTGTACACTCTCTCAGATCACTATCGGCCAGCGCCGATCGATACATAGATACCTGTTTAGCTGGTTGCGTTCCCGTATAACAGCACTGGAACACAAGAAGCTAACTTCAGTATTACCGCCACGCTACCGTAACCCAAAGCGGCGCCCAGTTAATTGTAACTCCGCAGTGGACGTACGTATAACACTGAACTTTACGCCAGTACCACTACGAGAGTGTGGAAACGCTTGCATATACTGCACTTTCAAGGATGGACGGGAATTCATGCACATTTCACTTATACTTTCTTTCGTCTAAACGGATGTCCCGTATGTTTGGCATATGCGCAGCGTATGCCAAAATATAGAACCTTCAAACATATCATGTCGTACGTTGACCATACTACGCTTACAACGCTTTTTTCTAGCTATTTGCAATTGGAGAATAATTACATGAATATAAAGAGCCGAATTACTTTTAACTTACTCCAGACCAGAATATTCTTTTACAAGTGGTTTTCCCAACTTATCGCATGAAATTTCACTGCATGCTTAGTGATTGGAAAAGCGAAAAACGTCACTGTCACTATACATAAAAAGTAATCTGATGATCTGATTACTGAAATAATCTGGTGATCTGATTACTGACATGACATTTTTCGTGACGATACCATTTGGCGCCAGTTTGGTGCAACTCCAGTTCAGGTTCGGTTCGCTACAGACTGGTAGTTAGATTGGAGAGGTAATCCAGGGTCTCGAGTGCAAAGGTTTTAGTGCTGACAAGAAACTTCAGGGTCAAGATAAGTGAGTGGCAGCACCAAGCGCTCCTAGACAACGTTTTTGTTGGCAAGTTTCTAAACAGAATTCCCTCATAATAAATATCTTGGCGGAACTGTGCCCAAGCAGTGCCCGTCTCAACTTTGGCCCTCTAGTTTCCACAGTAAATGTTTGTTCTACTTCAGTGGCATGATTTCACTAATGTAGCTAGGTTTTGTGAAAAAAATTATTCCCAGGTTGAAAAGTCTTGAGAACGTGACCAACTACATGCAAGTACCACCTGTTCCACCTTTCGAGGCGATGACGCTAATAATTCGAAGCAGCACCACCTCAGTTTAATTTACTTTAGCCAGCTTTGAAAGTATCCCACACTTATTGACACCAAGCGCGCAAAACCACCAAATTGCTTGAAGCAATAGTAACAGAAAAATAGATCAGGCCTATCCTTACCCCCTACCTTCCTTAGGCCTCATAGCGACATCCGAAACACACGTCTTTTTCCACTCAATTATCGGCGTATTTCCAATGCCCGTGCTGATGTTTTCAACGCACCTACGACAGACAGACAATTTCAAAGGGCGCTGTCTTCGGGTTACGGTAGCGTGGCGGTAATACTGAAGTTAGCTTCTTGTCACTGGAACGCTGTAGCAACATTAGTCCGTGGAAATGCGTCGACGCGTGCCATTATCACGAAGTCTAAATGCCGTCTAAGGCGGTCGAGAGAAGGGAAGACACTAACAAGGGAACCCCAACAGGTCGATCCGGCCATTTGCAGTGA